GTGTGTCTGGCAACATCGGTTCCAGCTTGAATGGCATAATACTAGTCTTATTCGATGCTGTGAGAATTAATATAAAAACTCGTTAGCAAAGTTGTAACGCGCACAAGTGTTAAAGCAGCTCAAATCTCTCTAATTATTATCTCCTGCGCAGTCAATTACAGGAAAGTTGTTGCCCTCCTCCGATGAACGTCTGCCTGCCCAAACATTAGGAAACTACTGAACTCTTTACACCCTGACATCAGAGTGCATGTTCTTTCAGAGAATTTGTTCCACGATCAGGAACTCCTTTTGTTAAACATCACTTTCTTAAATCCCACGTCCTTATGTTTCATTTAGGGGTGATGGTGTGAGGTGAAATAAAATGCTGGTATAGACGACACTCTGTACGACCGCTTATGTGATTGGGTATCGTTTATCCGTGTATTGATGGCCATTGGTTTGAGTAATGATGGAGAAACGTCTGGCTCCGTGGAAATATAAATAGGTGAGTGCGGGACACGATCACGAACTGTAGAACGAGAAAGCACRTAGAGTTTTTGAAGTGTAAATTTAAAAACTGAATCAATAAACAGATGAATGACTCGGGACACGACTTGAAAGAAAACGATAACAGATATTTTGGTGGCCACATGAAAAAAGGTCTGGTAAAAGACTTTGAGCTTAAATTCAAAATGAAGGAACTCAAGTTTATGTTGTTTATATGCACACGTTTTTACCACCTCTTTACTTACTTCTTTTTACCAGTTCAGCTTTGAATTGAGAATGTTAAACATAAAATAAAATCACGTACACTGGTTTACCTTTTATGACATCTTCGGCATATTTCAGAAATTCGTATGCTGGGTTATCACTACCTCCAACCTATAAAGAAATAAATAACATTGTATCAGCAAAAAAATTGGAAAGCTCATAAGTACAAAAAGGGATGTTCCGCATACTTCAATGAACACTCCAAGAACTGCAAGACCATCAGATTTGGGAACTGCACTGCCTAAGTCTGCATATTTGGTGTTGTAGCTGACAAAGTGTATCTGTTCGAGAAAAAAAGTAAAAACAAGCTTTTAAGAAATAAAGTTAGATTGGTAAATTAATCCGGATT